TCTCACTAGGCTCTGCCCTTTATCTCACAGACTATTCCCTTCAAACATCTGAGTCTGAAGTTCCAGCTGGCTGCAGGGAAGCCTTCTGACATCCTGTTGAAATCACACAGACCTAATGAAATCCTGACACGCCAGTTACATGAGCACCTGCCTACTTTACTCCCTGAGGCAGGATATAAGACATGGCCATTGAGAGTCAGCAGGACCTTGCATTTACCCGGGACTGATAGCAATACAAAAACTGTGTTCCTGCTAAACTGGGACCTTTGGGAGATTATGCACTTTTATGGATCTTTGTGTGTTTGTGCTGAAGACATGACTGAAACCAAAGTAAATTAAACTGCAATAGGAAAAAAATATATATGAGATGACATATTATGCAATGGACATGACAGAGGGAAGGAGGGAGGGAAGAAGAGTAAGACAGAGGGTTTCTCCAGTCTCTCACTTGACACACACTCAATACTTTTCTACATACATTAGAAGTAAAGTTCCCCAATCAAAACTTGGGACTGCATGCAAGCCCTATGAATATCTTTGCAACATCAAACATGATTCGGTGTTCAATCTGCTGTATAGAACCTTTGTCTCCCACTTCATAATGCCCTATAATCTATTTGGGGTTTTTTCATTGTAAACTGTTGATGGGTTCTCATCTACAGACCTTAAGATAGAAAAGAAAAGCCTTCTAAAATGGCTAAGTATAGTGCTCCTCTCTACCTTAATCCTATATTGGCATACAGCAGATTTGAACAGCCAGGGATACTTCAGGTCATCACATTTACCAAATAAATTTGTGGCCAACCAAGACTCTGATAAATAGGAACCAAGATGACAGAAACAGATATTTCAGGTGACAAAACAGAACTAACTACCTGCATTTACAATATGGTGGGCAACACAATCCAGAAAAGTAATATATCAAAAGGGAAAATCCAGTCATAACTTAGACATGCAACAGAATGGGTCTTAGTTCCCACTAAGGCAAGTATCACTAATCTCAAATGGTACAAAGCTGCAACATGTTTTCCGGGATTGTGCCCATCACTGTACAGGAAGTGTGGGTGTATTTTGAGAAAAACCTGTTGGAAAGTTCTGAAACAAACTATGCCAGGTTCAAAAAGTTAAAAGTCAGCCATATTTTTACTGATCCGCAAATCAATCTATCATCATGACTGAAAAAGCAATCAACACCCCACATTGGCAGGCTGATGTTTTTGAAGTATGGAAGTTACCATAACGACCTAATGTATCTTTTTATATAAACCTTTTCTCATAAGCATGTATATAAGCACAATTGCCATGACAACCAAAATAATTGTTTAATATGTCAACAGGAAAACCAAAGAAAAAATGAATTAGGATAAAATAACCCTTTCTTGACTTCCTTTAAAATAAAGCCCTTCCCTTCCCACCATGAGAATGAAATGTGGAAACAAGGTGATTATTTTAATCCTTTTCATGTATTGGAATACTCTTACGAAAGAGAAAGAGACATGCCACAAATCTAACAAAAGGTACGCCATTGGGTGGGACTGGATCAGACTGGATAAATGATGCAAAGTAATAAAAGGGTCTTGTGGCCACCTCAAAAACTATTAAGTTTTATTTGGCACAAACATTTATGGACTCCAGTCCACTGCATCAGATACACCAGGTTCACAAGAGAGGTAGAACCAACCTACCACTTCTCAATCCATTGCACATATCAACTTATTCCTGATGCTGCTGGATCGGTCTTGCATCATTTTCAGCCAGACAGCCAATTCAACCATTAAGAGTGATCACCCAGACTCTACCCCTTTCCCTTCTCACTGCTCTTGCTAAGTGCTTCCATGTGTGACCCAAGACTAGGCCCTCTATTGTGGATGGAAAGTGATGAGAGGGATTTGTTTATTTATTTATTTATTTATTCATTCATTCATTCATTCATTCATTCATTCATTCATTCTATTTATACCCTGCCTATCTGGTCATTTCGACCACTCTAGGCGGATGTGTTGGCTTGGCAACTGTTAAGCCAAAGAATTCAAGGAACTATGGCAGATGCCACAGTCTGAGAAAACACTTTCTTTCCAGTCTTGGAGCTGAGGAAAGGGCAGAGACTGCCACATACCTACTAGGATGTTCCCACCTGCCTCTGCAGCAACAGGTTACGGAAGAAGACTGGGACTCATTGTGTCTGCTGGAGGGCACCAGGACATTTGCCACAGCAAGTTTCCCAACGTACATTCACAAGTAAACCAAGGATGGACCTTGAGTGAGTTGTTCTGTTTAGAACAGTATTCTTAAGCACTCCATCCATGTGATATGTGGATGCAGCAACGCAGCAATTTAGCAGGAGCAGAGCAATCAGCGAATGGGCAGCATCTTGGTTTCTGACCTTTTACCTACCATTTTCCTGTGACTTTAACATCAGCCAAAATTAAGCATAACAGGGATGTGGGGCTTCATTTAAGGCAGGCTTGGTCTAACTAGTTATTTCAATGGGTAGGCCCAATGACCTCATTGCAAACAGAACTTTTGGGTAGGGCAGGACTGTGTGCAACCCGTGACATTTTTTGCTGCCCCCAAGGCCACCTAAGAGCCTAAATTATTATTTTAATCAAAATATCACACACAAACAAAACCACACACACAATTGAAGAGACTACAGTAAGTTTAGAAAATGAGCAGGATCCAACATTTTATGCTGTATAATGCTTTGTGACAAGCTACAATTATTTATAACAGTTGTCTCTAGAGAGCAAATGGAGAATGTAAAAGACCAGTCAGTCTGAAAGTCCATGTTCCATTGGCTTGACCTGTCAGAACTCAAAACTTCTGCCAGCAATCCTGCCTCTGGGGTAGATGTGTTGGAGTCTGAAGGATCTGGAGGAAGTCAGGCTTTTGCTCAATAAATCAGCTGCCTTTTTTGGACCCTCCTGTTAAAAATTCTGAAAGCTTCAATGGAAGAAAATTGGCAACTCGAATGCCAGGAAAGCTTCCTACTTTTGCACAGAGTCACTAAGGCTTGTAGCCTGGAGATGGGATGCAAGATCCACCTCTTCACTATATGATAATAATAGAATTGAACACAGAGAAGTAGTTTGCAGACATATATTAAGATATGCTCTGAGAAATTTTGGCACCAGTGATGGTTTCGATCAAGAGACAGAACAAAATTTTAGCTGACCAAAAATCTTTGTCTAACCTTCTGATGTGTATTCTTGCTCACACCAGACATGAGAAGGCAAGTGGGTATTTAGGAGTCTGCCTTATAGGAAATCTTTGGGGGAGCTAAATTTGACATTCCCTGGCAGTCCTGTAATGAATGTGTTAAACTTCACATTCAGAAAGAGTGTTGCCTTTCATAAGAAAAGCACTACAGCTCGCCAAGTATAATAAAACCAAATGAAGGCCATTCATTTGCCTTTTGTCAATATTTTCATAGCAACAAACAGATCAAATGTAAGATATTCGAGGGCTTTTTATTTCAAACATCAAATGTCCTTTGATATATTTCATTTCAAAATGAAACCTGTAGCACAACAGTTTTAAACCATCCATTGCTACTCACCTTAGATCATTTCCTCTTTTCCTCTCAATTCTTCCTCTCTTTCCTCTAGAAATAATGTATTTTCTCTTATAGAACCTCATCGTTTTTTTTCTGATTTGACAACAATATCAGTAGTGCAACGATTTAACTATACAGCATGTTCTGACTTTTTGGCCTCACTGTACTTTATTTTATTTTTTTCATTTATATGAATATACTTCAACCAATTCAGAATGAAGCTTCATGTGTCCACTTAAACCTATAAATCTTTTACTTTTCAAGGCCTACATCTGAGAAATGCATTTCATCTGTTTTCTAAGCACACCTGCGACAGAACAGTAGCTGAAACTAAAGAGGTAATGCTTTTCCCTGCAGGGTTTCAAAGTAATGCGAAAAGCTTCCTTTGTTCATTTGCTTTGTGTCAGATGATATTGCCAAGGCCAGTGGTAATCCCAGCAAAAAGTACTTCAAGCATGGCAACACACAAAGAAGGGAAGCCAGAAAGAGGAGGGGAAAGAAAATACAACATGAGACAGCTAGACGTTTCTCCCCTTCATTTAGAAGAGGACCACTCCGGGTAACCCTATTTTCTTATGTAACCAAACAATTGCATAACATCATTTCTATCCTTACTCTGAAGTACCATTACTTTCATTGAGCTCTGAAAGCAGGTCTCAATGAAAGGTACGATGGCAGTCTTTAAAAAGATAAAGTAACTGCTTTCTTTCTTTGTTCAGTCTACGTTGAGAGAAGAACATTCTTTACGAACCTTATCATTTAACAAAAATACAGCACCTAGAAATGGCTCCTTTGAATGTTTTTTCTGCAGGAAGCACATTTGGTTTTTACGTAAGTAAAAGAAAACCAATGGTGGGGGGATGAGGGAGTGTAGATTCTACACTCCTTGCATATTTCAGACATGACTAATGTTTATTTACAAAGGAAAGACCATGCCTGTAGAACCTGTGATTTTCAAAACAAATGAAAATCATCAGCAATATATGATGGCCCATCAGAATCTTGAGAATTCCTTTTTTTTCACTGTCTTGGGCACATTGCTCAAAATGTCAGAAGATACTGTTGGGAGGTAGATTTGCTCCTATGGATTACAGTGGAGTTCGAGATCTTTTTAGAACCAAAATGCCATACCCACATTTCTTTCCACTCTGACACCTTTTATGTACCATGTGACCCATTTTTCCAGCCAAAACTGCTGAAATAAGCTCAAAGGTAAATTCAGTTGGCTGGAGGTTTCCAATGAAATTGGCATTCTCCTTTCTAGGAGGATAATGCAGTTACCCTGTTCACACGACTGAGTAATCAAAACAAAACAAAACCACTTCTATAGGGCCTGAAGCACCTGACAGGTTTGGTACATACATTCAACAAAGCAAATCAAAAACACTGTATCAATAAAGTAGAAAAATTTCTGAATTTCATCCAAAGGATGTAGTTTACTTACCTAATTCTATACAGATCACATAATGGACACTTTGCTTGTACCACCAGTGATTGCAAGAAGGAACAGAGAAAAGAGATGACAGCGAATTGAGTCCTCTTTATCAGTTGCCCTAGAGAGAAGGAAAAGGATATTGGAAGGAAAAAGAAACACGTTTATTTATTTTGAATTACCTCCTTTTAGATTTAACATATAATTTTAGAGCTACCCACAAAGAACTTGATGCACAACCTTGAGGAAGACAATTTATCATCAAAAGCTTGCTGTTCGTTTTTGTTTTATATTCTAAATGGCTGAATAAAGATATCACCTGTTCCTGCATTTGTATTGCTTCCACAACCATACAGCCTTTTTCTGATTTTTCCTGAACTATGTAAGATACCACAGAATGGCTGATCAGAGCACCAACTGAAGAACAAAGTGAGTTCTCGAACATCATGGACTCCTGACACCAAACAAGAACTACTGCATGCTAAAGAAAGCATCCACCAGGTAAAACTATTTAGCCAAAACTATACATAGTTTTGGCTAAATTTGACTGTTCTTGGTGGTTTAACTAAATTATTGATTCTAACTCTGCTAGAGGCAGGTCATGCTTCTGGGCTTCATCTCCTCTCCCTGCTAAAAAGAAACTTGTTGAGTTTCAAAAAGTTGGAAAAGAGGGGTAAGGGGCCTCCAGGTTGCCTGACTTTCCTTTTTTTAAAGAGATGGGCCATAAATTCAAAAGTACAGTACTAGCTGAGGAGGCGCTTGATATCAACTTGCATTAAAGAGATGGGCCATAAATTCAAAAGTACTAGCTGAGGAGGAGCTTGATACCAACTTCCATACTGCAGCTATTTCAGACTAAGAAGCTAACCTGGCCTCAACATCAGCCATGTGAATTTGGGACATTAATAACAGCATATAATTTTGATACTACCCACAAGAACTTGATGCACAGCCTTGAAGATGATTTATCATTGCAAGCTTGTTGTTTGTTTTATTCTTAATGGTCAAATAAAAGTATCACCTGTTCTTGCATTTGTACTCCTTTTAGATTGTTTACAAGAATATTCAAATTCTCTGAGTAATCTGTTTTTCGGTTTTTCCAATACCAGCTCTACTCGTCTGTAGTATGTGAAAAGTAGAAAGTGCATTAACTATGGCAGTGGTTCTTAACCTTTGTTACTCGGATGTTTTTGAACTGCAACTCCCAGAAACCCCAGCCAGCACAGTTGGTGGTGAAGGTGGAGTTGCAGTCCAAAACTCCTGAGTAACCCAAGGTTAAGAAACAGTGAACTATGGGAAGGGTCCTGTCTCTCAGCGTAACCTAATCTGTTGGGGGTGCTGCTGCTTTAACTCACTGGAGGAAAGACCAAAACCCTAAAAAAAGATACATACATACATAAGTTCCTTGATTTTTGCAGTGTCTTCAAAGGCAAAGATAAAAGAAAGCTACTTGTAGCAGAATTGATTTTTTTTAAAGTGAGGGCATGTGAAGAATGGAATTAAATAAAGGTGGCAAGAGGAATTCCAATGCATTGCAGGTTTAAAAAAAGAAGAAGTTCCATGTCCAATAGAGTAGGTCTACAGAGTCTAAAAGTTTCCAAATAGAAAATGGAATAAGAGTAAAATTATATTATTATGAATTCCAAGGTCCTATGATGGAAGAAAATTCTATTTTTCTTAAATGGGAACAACTTATTGACAACTAGAACCTGTCACTTCCACTTCACCATATTATGGCTCTCCATAAATGGCATGAGGCTTTTTTGTCCCAATATGTCACGCCAGCAAGGCTGGCGTGACATATTCTGTTGTATTATTTACAGGACAAATCTGCAAGTGACAATACTACAGAATGCAATAACTCTAGGCTAGTTCTGAAACAAGACATCCTGGTACATTAGGGTTGATAATTTATCTCTAGTAAGTCACAGATTTTGGATGATAGCTACGCAAGTGATTTTCAATAACTCCTATGTGGGAAAGCTGAACCTCTATGAAATTTATGCTGCTTGTTAAGACTGGCCTCTAAAGCAGAGAGCTATTAAGTACCAATATAAGGCTCACTTTTTCAAAAGGATCAGGGAATTGCAGGCCAGTTTAGCTTTATATCTGTTTTTGGTAAACTGCCCAGAAACATTATAAAAGGTTATTAAAAGGCAGAAGAACAAGGCTTGCTGAGGAAGAATCAGAATGTCTTCTATAGGGAAATATGGACTTAGCAATCTTTTAGAATTATTTGAGATTGTTGAAATGGGGGCAGATATCAAATTATTCAACACAGTAAAATCCTAGTTGACTGTTAAACACACCAGATCATTTCAGCCTATTTAAATAGGCAGCAAATGACAAAGTTCAGGATAAGCATGTTTGGGGAAAAAACACCACCACACAATTAACGCTAATAATTCTTCATAAACTGACAGGATCTGAACTTTTGGCAGTTAAATAGGGAGGAGAGAAAGAGAAAGGGGGAGAGAGAGAGAGTTCTGGTAAATGGCTGAACGAAAAACAGCCATATGGTAGCTGTGAAAATATGAAATCCCATTCTACCCCGTTTCCCCGAAAATAAGACAGGGTCTTATATTAATTTTTGCTCCCCCCCAAAAAAATTAGAGCTTATTTTCAGGGGATGTTTTATTTTTTTCATGTACACCCATCTACATTTATTCAGCTACAGTCATGTCTTCTTCTGGTTGCTGCACAATACTGCACAATTGTGGAGGGTGGGGTTTGAGTTGTTGTTTAGTTGTTAAGTCATGTCCGACTCTTTGTGACCCCATGGACTAGAGCACTGGTTCTTAACCTTGGGTTACTCAGGAGTTTTGGACTGCAACTCCCAGAAGCCTTCACCACCATCTGTGCTGACTGGGGTGTCTGGGAGTTGCAGTTCAAAAGCATCCGAGTAACAAAGGTTAAGAACCACTGGACTAGAGGATGCCAGGCCCTCCTGTCTTCCACTGCCACCTGGAGTTGGGTCAAATTCATGTTGGTAGTTTCGATGACACTGTCCAGCCATCTCATCCTCTGTCATCCCCTTCTCCTCTTGCCTTCACACTTTCCCAGCATCAGGGTCTTTTCCAGGGAGTCTTCTCTTCTCATGAGATGACCAAAGTATTGGCGCTTCAGCTTCAGGATCTGTCCTTCCACTGAGCACTCAGGGTTGATTTCCTTCAAAATGCATACAGGTTTGACTTAACTGGGGCTTATTTTCATGGTAGGGCTTATACAGTAGTGCCTTGACTTACGAATGCTCCTACCTACGAACATTTCGACTTATGAACAGCTCCACTCGCAAAATTTTGCTTCGACTTGCGAGCAGAGCTTCGACCTAAGAACAGGAAAAGGCAGGGGGAAAAGGTGGGAAATTCAAACCGTTGGTGGTGAAGAGACTGTTTCTTTGTAGCTTTTTTGCCCCAACGGTTAGAGCAGGGGGTCAGGGAACTTTTTTTACTCCTGCGGTGCAGGGGGAGAAAGGAGAGGTGGGGTGGCTCCGGATCGCTGTCAGGAGCGGGAAGCCGGTGCGCTCCCTGACCATCCCTGGCGCGGGTCTACTAATAACTAAGGTCCGCAGAAGGCACGGGTCTACTCATGCGTACTCCTAAGATCACAGTGCATTTCTACTATCTAAGGCTCATCCTTCCGGGGAATGTTGAGTACAGTGGTGCCATGCATAGCGACGTTAATCGGTGCAGCAAAAATCGCTGCAAAGCGATTTCATCGCTATGCGATTTTAAAAAGCTCATAGGAATGCATTGAAACCCCTTCAATGTGTTCCTGTGGGCTGGAAACTGACCTTTAAGTGAAGATCCTCCATACGGCGGCCATTTTTGCTGCCCGGTAAGCGAGGAATCCATCCCTAAACACAGCAGGCGGCCATTTTTTTTACCCGGCGGCCATTTTGGAACTGCCGATCAGCTGGGGGGGAAATCATTGATTTGCGATAATCGGTAAGCGAAACAGGGTGCCGATCATCGCAAAGCGATTTTTCACCATTTAAACCATCACAATGCGATCGCAAAAGCGATCGCAAAAAGTTCGTCGGTATGCGATTTTGTCATTAAACAGGGCCCCCATTAAACAAGGCACCACTGTACATTGATACATTCTGCTCATCAAAATCAAAGATATTGTCCCCGTGCAAGTTCTGTGTGCCTTATCCCTAAAAAGGCATCACAGGCAGAAAAGATACAGAAAAGATGATCAGGGAGCTCAAGCCACTTCTCTACGAGAATGCAGAAGAATCTGGGGCATTTTAATTCAGGAAAAGAAGATGGGTGTACAACAGACATTCATAGAATTATGCATGATACAGACAAAGAGAAGCCTTCCTGCCACCCATAACTTAAGAGTCAAACTGATAAGTAATAGAGAACAGACAAAAACCTACTGTCTTCGTTGCTGAGATGGTACAGCATCGTTATGAAGCCAGTTTTAGCCAGAGCAATGGTTCTTGCCTCCATTCCAGGGGAACTGCACTGCTGCTGCTGTCAGCATCGCAGCAGTGCGATGAAAATAGGGGAGCAGGAAAATAAGTTAAGTTGGCAGTGCAGGAGGAAATTTCAGGAAAATACTTGTCATTAAAGAAACCTTTCAGCTTAGCCTTAACTCTGTTTAGAGACAATACTGAATAGCACCAGTTGAGAAGCACCAGCAGGAGGGAGCTACTGACTTCACGGGTTACTCATGGTCTTTGCAACAAATTGAATGTACTGCTGCAGAAATCAAAATACTGGACTAAAGAGATTCGGGACTGATCAAGCAGGGGGCTTTTGTAAACCTAAAAGATCTTCTGAGGATTCATATAAAGCATAAAAATATGATCAAAGACAGTAGTGAGGAAAATGAGTGTGGAATATTATGGCAACAGAGAAGCAACACATCCAGTTCACAATATTAATACTCTATATGATTTCTAAATTATAATAATATGTTTGGGTTGTGTTTTTTTAAGCAACAACATTCCAAACTGTTTTGTCATGAACTGGCATGTTTAAGACCAATTCAAAGCTTTTAAAATCAACATGTCAAATAAACTGAACCAATTAAATGAAGCACATTTAAAATCTGACCCTTTTATCCTGGAAAAAGTTGTAGGGTCTCCATTCTGAATTTG